AAAGCTTTTAGGGCAAGTCTATCTTTCCTCTATAGGAAGAACAACCAACTTATTACGTTCAATGGTTATTATGTAATTAACCCCTCTAAAAAAATCTTTTTTTTCTTTAGTAAATTAATTAATTAATTAAACATAGTTAGAACCTCCCTCAAAGTCCCGATGACTTTGCAAGAAACATGTCGTCCTTAAATACTGGGTAAGTCTATTAAAAAGTGAAATAGCATTTTTACTCTGTATATTATTTTGTCACAGCTATAATGTGCAGTATTACAAACTATTTTATAAGTGTTGTGCAAACTGTTCATTAAAATCCAGTGGTCTAGCGAGCTATAGAACATTTATTTTTTTATTTATTAAAGCTCTGACCTCAATTGGCAAAGCAATATTGTAATGGTGTCCATTGCAATCTGCTTTCTTACTTGCTGCTCTCAAAAATTCTGAATATTTTCAGAGATTTCTTGGGAAATAATAAAAACCCAAAAGACAACAACTTTGCATTTATACTAAACCTGACTGTTTTAAAACGTATTCTGTATATTTCTTGTCATAAGTACTTGTACTTAAATCTGTTTAACAAAGCTGTTTATATTGTGACTGTTTATATTGTGGTAAAAAAAATAAAAATATATGTTATATATATTTTATTATTATTATTATTATTTATTTTAACATTGCTTAATTTTTAAAGATACCTGCATATTTAATTAAATATCCTTTATATGTCTTTAAGGCATAAAATATCTGAAAATTAAGATTATATACAAAAATGCATGTTCTGGGTGTTCCCATAATTAATTTTCTATAATTTTAAATCTGGACTCAGATGCCTTTTGGGATGAGCCCCCAGTTTCAGAGGCTTCTTTGGAGGTGACCACAGAAAAGTATAGATTCTATAAAATAGATGTGAGGGGGCTTTGGACAGTAAAGTTATCTTAATTATACTTTTCATATAGCAGATATGTGATATGCAATGTGATTTAATATATCAGAGTATTATCACTTTAATTGACACTGCATTTTTTTTTATGCATTATTCTTTATGCATTATTATTTTTCTTTTTTTCTTAAATTTTAATGTCTGTTTAGAATATTGCAGGCTTTGCAATATCACATTAATTTTGCAGTATATATATTCACAATGCTCTTACAACATATTATTAAAATTAGCCTCTTTCAGAATTGTAGAATATGTGGTGGAACTGAATCCCCATATATGAGATTTGAAACTGTATTTTTATTTCTACTCTGTGCCCTAATCAGTATTTATATACATAATTGCGGCAGCATATAGCTTTTAAAGAAGCAATTATTTCACCCTTCATGTGTGGTTGACTGTGGACTTTTTAAAACCTACTTTTTATTTTTTATAAATCCGTTTCTGGCTCTGAGAGAGCAGGCTGCTGAATGCATGTAAATGCTGTTATTGCCTAGTCTATATACTTTTATTTATAAACAACATTGATATATTTATATATAAACAACTTTGATATTTAATCTTATTTTATATTATTTTATGAAAACCTAGTTTATGAAATTCACTGAGATGACGTGTCTGATCTGATTACAGATAGTAGTACAATATCATTGTTCTAATTGCCTTACTGCTAGCACTACAGGTACGGTAGGATAGTACCACTGATTTAAGTAAGCTTTCCCTTCTAAAATTGGTGGACTTTAATCCTGCCATTGCAATAGACTAAAGACTGTACCTAGAAAACAGGTAAAGTACCAGCGCTGATATGTAGATCAAAGTTTGATACAATTATATAAAGAATCCCACTAATTTTCAGCTGCTGTGACACCCCAATCTTATCTTTCAAGAATGAAATAAAACCAGTGTATGGGTGAAGCGCTATACAAATGGGTAACCAAAGTGGAGAAATAATACCAAGTGATGGAAGCCAGAAAGATCAAAATATACCTTCTGTGTTATAAATTCACAATAATTCTTTATAGGGGTTTCCTAAAAACTTAACAGAAAAATCCAAACATAGTGCAAACTGTAGTAATGAAAAATATGATAAAAATTCACAAATTGCCCACTCACACTTTTAGGAGCTAGAGGGGTATAGCTCAATAGAAGCACTTTCAGAGTCCGTAGAGGCGACTCTTATCCCTTCTTTTATCTCTTCCTTTCTTGTATTCTGGAATGTATAAGGGAGAATACCTCTGGTGCAATAACGTAAGTTTTATGTATATTATATAATAAGGGAAATAGGGTACTTACAAACCCAGAGCCATCCACGTCGGCTCTGATCCAATAGCTTATGTGGATTAAGGACCACACTCCTTCTTTGTGAATAGCAGGAAAATGACAATAGTGTATATCAAAAATGTAAACTTTATTGACTACAATATAAATATAGAAATATATATATAAAAAACACACTATGAAGGCATAAAAAGTTCAGTAATTCAAAAGTCTTTTTGCTCACAATGTTCCCAGGACATGTTTCGCCGTGAAGGCTTCCTCAGCTGGATGTGAAAAAAGTCTGTTTCCTTCTTGTACTGGCTCCTGCTATATGTACCCCTCCAGGGGTAAAAATGCTTGATTTTCGGCTTGTATTTTCGCGGGCTATCACCATAGCAACGGTGACGCCCAGCGTATCAAGCCTCTTTTCCTATCCATTTCCGGGTATTACTGTCGGTTCGTCACTTCCGGTTTTGCGATAGCAAGCCGTCGCGTCATATCCGTGCGTTCCAGCTTGCGTTCCAGCTTGCGGTTCAACTTCCTTATATCGTATTGAACATTCCATCACTTGGTATTATTTCTCCACTTTGGTTACCCATTTGTATAGCGCTTCACCCAAACACTGGTTTTACTAAAGACTGTACCTGAGTAAGCAGTCATGATGTGCAGGAATTGTGCACTTTAAATAGTAGAATACTTATGCTATTCTAGTGAATTGGGCTGGCTGCTTAACACATCATTTTGTATCTTTTGGTCACATTTAAAGCTGTAAATGTATTTAACATTTTATTTAAATAAGCCTTTAATAATTTTAGTTTAAAAGTTATCAGAGATCCTGTGTAGTTACAATTTTATTTTGCCCTGATTTATTTTACATATATATTATTTTTAATCATTTTATAAATATTTATTTTTGCAGAGCATTTAGAGAAGCAAAGGATGTATAACCACCTGTTGCCCTTTTTTCAGGAGGGTGGTATAATTTCAACTCTGTTTAGGAAAAAATATGAGCTATTTAGCATATATTATATAAAATATATGCTGCAGTGTACTGCATTGTACTGCACTGAATGTATTTAAAAGCCATGCCTTTTTCTTTATGGCTGTATGTCATAATGTTGTTCATAATTTGGAATATAAAACAATGACTTCTCAATTCCTTGGAATGGAAGCAATGTTTACATGTCTCTATCTCCGCAACCTTGGCTGGAAACTCCAGACTCCAAAAATAGTTATGCTGTTATAATTCCTGATTTTCAATCAACAGCTAGCATAACTGACAATATGGAAATTATCACTGTTTTATAAAACTTTTCTTATATAGTGGACTGTCTGTCTGTCGCTTTCATTTTGACAACATTTTGCATTAATCTTTTTTCTGCGCATGCATACTAAGCAGCTACAAAGAGAACATATCCCCCTGTCTGCAATCCACTGTCCTGGAACTAATGGGCCATGCTATGCTGGTGTATTAGGCATATCAGGGAGTTTACCAAATATGTATATTTGTTCTCTTATGATATTAAGATCCACAATTTCAGCATTGTATGCTAATTACGATGTACCTGGCACCTGAACTCAAAGTGCCTTGTTCACATTAAAATCATCTCTAATGATGAAGATCTCTCTCTGAGTCTGGGCTACAAATAGCTCAATAGATTCTTGATATTTCAAGACTTGTGCCATGACAAAGTATTGTGTCTTCTCTTACGTATAAGAGGTTACCTAGGTATTTATTTTATATTTAAAGCTTCCAAGTACAAGTCCCTTCATGGTGGTCGCCAATTGTAACCGTGTGTGGTTCCCTTATTTACCACTATAATGTCTTAAAGCATAGAACTTAGTAGGGCTAACCATACAGATATCTTAGCCATAATTTTATATAGTTAGTAAGAGATCCTCTATTTAACATATATAAATAATTGAGAATACAATATAAAATAAGGATTGTCTTGGAAGCAATAGTTTTGTCTTTTAGATATTTATTATATAAAAATATAAATATAGACATATAAAATCCATATAGCAGAGTTTATAAGATTAAACTAAATGCTTGCAAATATCATTAATAGGTTAACATACCCTTCTGAACATGTCATCATGTCAGCCTCTCTGTCATTTTAAGATGGAGCAGCATCTGTCTCAAAGTCTCTCCTCTGTCCCTTATCATTTTAAAGTACACCTATTTATACCTTAAGTGCCTCCATTTTAGGGTTACCGTAGTTCATATATGAAAAAGTAACACTTTTACTTCATTTTAGGACCTCCCTTAACTTGGCAAAAATACAAGCCATAACTAAAGGGTGTATACGTCATGGAAATTTTCCTGACTTAGTTCAAGATGGCATCTTAAAGTCTGAACATCCTTATCTACTAAGGTTACCACAGTATATTACGTACTGAAAGAGTCGTAACATAGCCTTGAAGCTTGTTTACGCATTATTGTTATTGTAATTCGTCTTGGACAAAATGGCGCAAACATTATGCACTGTGGTTATTGCTTAAAGGAACATCTATGAAAAACAATATGTTCCATTTCTAAACACCTTGTCAGTTTGCAGTCTCTCTTAAAGACAAAGTACACAGTTTAAGAAATACAACATTTCATTCTAAAACTTGTAATATTTACATTTGCCCATAACAACAGGAGGCATCGTGGGAACAGGGAGGAAAGCTAAAGATCATGGGAAAATTGCTTTGACCACCGGAAACGAAGCACACTTTGCTCCTCCGCTGGTCGCTGCGTAGGAAACCTCCAGAAGAGAAATAGTCCCTACTTTGTCTTATGTTTTAAAGAAAACTATAGCAGACAGGAAGAAATGAAGAACAGATCCTGAGAAGGAGAGAAGAGGAATCGATTGGGGAAAGGTATGTTCGGCATGACAGTGCCGATTTAAGGGTTTAAAGTGGCACTGTCATGCCGAACTTACCTTTTCCCAATCCATTCCTTTTCTCTCCCTCTGTCAGGATCTGTTCTACATTTCTTCCTGTTTGCTCTATTTTTTTTAAAAACATAAGACAAAGTAAGGACTACTTGCCTTATGGAGGTTTCCTATGCCTGACCATCTATGACCAGCAGAGGAGCAAAGTGTGCTCCATTTCCGGTGGTCAGAAAATTTTTACCATAATTCTTAGCTTTCCTCCCTGTTCCCGCGATGCTTCCTGTCAGAATTCCCAAACGTCTTGACATTTAGACAGAACGCTGACAAAATCTCAGAATTGCGTCCTAACAGAGTGAGAACAATTTATCCATTCGTGTTAGGACGCAATTCAGGACTTTGTTCGTATCGGAATTTCATTCTAATGAATGAAACTCCGATCCTATTCGTGACGCGGCTGCATCTTGCAGCCGCTTAGTAGATAACTCCCTAATTCCCATGGTACCAGGGAGTTATCTAGCAAAAGGCTAAAAGACCTAAATTGGTCTTTCAGCCACATTTAGTAATACTAAGTAAAGATTACTTCGTATTAGAAATTTCTGCCCCTTCTCTCTATACTGCCAGTAGGGGCATGTCTAGTAAACAGTGAACACCCCTCCCGAGCCCGGCTATTAAACTGAAGGGGGAACCAAGAGTGCCCCGGCTCCACCCCTGAGCGGCGGGTAGGGCCCCACCCCTGAGCCCTGCAATTAGGCTAAGAAATATTGTAAAAATTTGGTTCCCTCTGCCCAGAGATAATTAAGTCACCTGGGCAGAGGGAACACAATTTTGACAATATTTGGAAAACACCTCAATACATACTGGACCCCCACAAATGTCACAGCCCCCATCTGGGTGACCAAAATATCCAAAAATCACCCAGATCGGTTCAGGGGTTTTTTCGATTTTCATGGAAGTCCCAGGTGACCGACTGCATACGAGGCTCCTGCCCAAAACAGTTCCATGATTTCAGGCAGTCCAAATAAATGACCTAATGCACGATTGGATCCCTCTGGCAAATTGCAGCGATTGTTCCCCTTGTTCGTGTGAACAAAACTACCGAACAACGCTCTCCTAGCTGTTCGGGAAAAGGAAGCAGGCAGGGCCGGACTGGCCCACCGGGATACCAGGAAGTTTCCCGGTGGGCCGCGGCACCTTGGACTGGGCTGACAGCCCTATTCATCACTGGCCAGGCTCCTGTAATCCCGGCAGGCCCGAGCTGTGCAGCCGCACAGGGTCCCATGGGAGCAGCTCGCACATGGCCAGCCAGGATTGAAAAAACAAAAAAAACACGATATTGTGGTGGGGGCGGAGCTAAGCGGCAGGCGGGGGCGGATTTTCCTGTGCGGCGGGGGCCCTGGTAATTGCAGCATGGGAAGCAGGAAGATTGGCTCGCACAGGGTGCCTAAATACCTAAAGTCGGCCCTGTGTGTGTGCAGTGAGCTGGTCTGTAGTAAGCATGTGTGTGATTGTGAGCTTGTCTGTAGTGAGAATGTGTGTGTTAGTGAGCTTGTCTGTAATGAGAATGTGTGTGTCAGTGAGCTCTTCTGTAGGGAGCATGTGTGTGTCAATGGACTTGTCTGTAGGGAGAGTGTGTGCGCATCTATGTACATGGTGTCACTAATTTTCTCCACCACCTTGAAGGGTCCCTGCCATACGGCCTGAAGCATGTCTTTTTTAGAGGGCTTCAGGGCCAGTACTCGCTGTCCTATTTCAAGGACCCTATCTTGGGCACCCCTATCATACCATCTCTTCTGGCGGTTCTGGGACACTTGCAGGTGCTCCCGGACAGATTCCGTGAGGGTCTGCAAGTGGTCCCTAAACTCCAGAACATACTGTACAATAGGGACTCCCTCCGCTCCTGTGTTGCCCTCCCAGTGCTCTCATATGAGGTCTAGGGATCCCCGGACTTTTCTCCCATAAAGGAGTTTGAAAGGGGAGAACCCGGTAGAGGCCTGAGGCACTTCGCGGTTGGCAAACAGGAGGTGAGGGAGGAACCTTTCCCAGTGCGAACAGGCCGCTGTGAACGTTTTAATAATCTGCTTGAGGGTGCCGTTAAAACGCTCACATAGTCCATTTGTTTGGGGATGGTAGGGAGATCTGAACAAGGGTTTCACGGCGCAACTCTGCCATAATTGTTGGGTTACAATTGCGGTGAACTGTGTCCCCCTGTCTGACAAGATGTCCCTGAGTAAAATTTTTTTACTAAAGCCTCAGCTACCGTTTCCGTCTCTATGTTGGACAGAGCTACCGCCTCAGGGTATCTGGTAGCATAGTTTACCACGGTGAGGATGTAGCGCTTCCCGGAGGTGCCTATTAAATCTATGGCCACCCGGGGGAAGGGCTCCTCAATAATAGGTAGCGGATGCAGTTTGGCCCTTTGGCGATCCCCTCTCCTCCCTGTCCTTTGACACACGTCACAGGTCCTGCAATAGGTCTTTACATCCTGGGATATGCCTTGCCAGAAAAAGGTTTGGGTTAACCGGTCCCTGGATTTGGGAGAATTCAGCTTGAGCACTTCATCCTATTTGGATTAATAGATGAACGAAGAACTGAACGGAGAGCTATACTCACTCTTGCTCTCTGCCGTTCGGTTAAAAACTGACGAACCCCTAGCTACCACTTCAGGGTTCGTTACAACTGATGGCAAGCGGCGGGATTTGTATCCCGAATGGACGTCCCGAACTGGAGGAAACTGAATGGCTCAGCAGTATGAGTTACTGAAGAGGACAACATTAAAAGACCTGCTGGAAGCTTGGGGCGTAGCAGCAAGCAACAAGAAAAAAGCCACGCTAATTGCAGAGCTAGTGCAGAGTAAAAGAACCAGCAGCATGGAAGGAGAGAATCCAGAGGAAAACTAATTCCAGAAGGAGGTGAGATGGATGATCAGTCTACTGGGGCCCAATCAATCACAAGAGGCAGTGGTACACATCACACATGCCAAGGATGCACAGCTTGCTCGGGACTCAAGAGCAGGGTCACTGCAGGGGGATTCCTTAACCTCCCCAGGATATACAAATGGCGGTCCAAAGAAAATCAACTATGCAGCCTTTAAAGCTTTTGTTGATGGGGAAACAGACATTGACAATTACCTGCAGGATTTTGAACGGCAGTGTACATTGGAAGGAGTAGAAGCAGATAACGGGGCTGTGGTTCTCAGCAGAAAGCTCTCAGGACGGGCAGCGGAAGCCTACCGGGCCGTACCTGATGAGGACATTCAAAACTATGACAAGATCAAAGAGATTTTACTGGCCAGATTTGCGGTCACACCTGAGGCGTACCGGAGAAAATTTCGGGCACTCAGAAAAGGAGGCCGAGATTCCTTCCCAGAGTGGGCATTCCTGATACACAGACACACATTCAGACAGGCACACACACATACATACATACAAAGACACATACATAAAAAAACAGACAGGCACACACTCACATACATACACACAAACAGACAAGCACACACACATACACACACAAACAGACAAGCACACACATACAAAGACATACATACAAACAGGCAGACACACACTAACACAGACACATACATACAGACACACACAAAATGTTTAAGTCACCCTCCTGTTTCCTACCGTTAACCCCTTAAGGACCAAACTTCTGGAATAAAAGAGAATCATGACATGGGCCGGGCCGCAGAAGATGATGGTGGCGGATACCCAGTCACAGGGGTCCACAGGGCGGCCGGGCCCCCTGGAGTGGCGGGCCCAGTCGCAGCTGCGACCCCTGTGACCGCGGTATGGACGCCACTGCTTATAACAATTTTATGACCATACCCCCACAGATGTCAGGCATTGGGTGAGTGACCGAAAACCCAAGACTGTGGAGGAGGCTGCCAAGTTGGCGGATGAGCACCAGGATGGCCGGCATCTGGATCCCAACAGGGGACGACCACCCCCCCCACCTACTAGACCTACTCCTTACACTCCGGCACCAACCACCCAAAACCATGGCCCAGTGTTACCTCTGCAAGCAGCCGGGGCATATAAAGCAACACTGCCCCAACCGGTCGTGGGGAAATTGGGACCGGGCAGCATCACAGCTTAGCCGAGCAGCTGCCCATTGTTGCCAACAAGACGAGTTTCTGGTCTCAGGGCACAGCGAGGAACAGAGGACTACTCTGCATGAGGCGAACCCAGCACAAGAGGCCAGTGACAACCGTGACCATGTTCGGCAGTGGGTTTCTATAGACGGCATAGATGCTCGGGCTCTAAGAGACACTGGAGCCACCCTCACGTTGATTCAGTTTCACATGGTTCGGGCGCAAGCTCGTATTCCTAAGACCGTGGCCATAAAAGTTGCAGGGGGAGCCATCCATAAGCTCCCCATGGCCCTAGTCCACCTTGATTGGGGCTCAGAAAATCGGCACCTGGATGTTGGCCTTATGAAAGACCTCCCGGCGGATGTGTTGCTAGGAAACGATGTGGGTTGCATGACATCTCAGCTCAACCGCAGCACAACACCTGAATCCTTTCCAGTGACTATCTGGGCTCAAGCATGCAGAGGTGAACCAGTGCACTCCGAGGAACCTCAGGTAGGACCCTCAGTCCCTTCCTCTTCTCCTGTTACGCTACAAGGGGTGATTTGGGTTGGAACTCAACTGCAGCTTGTAAACTCCCTAATTACAATAGTGAAGAAATGGAGAATCCTTAAGTATCAATACTGTAGCTTTAAGAAAAGAGAGAATCACTGGTAACTTGATTCAACCAAAGTTTTAATAAGTGTTCAACTTAAATGAATTGCATTTAGGCAATAATCCAATAAGAAGAAGTGCAAGTAATCAACAACACAAAGTTCAGTATTAAGTATTTCTTCAGAGATGCATTAAGTAACATTGGTTCATGAGAATAATCTTCAATAGGAACAATAATCTTTTAGCAAAGGATATTTGCAAAGCAAGAAACAGTTCATAGTGAATATGCATGATGGGAGTTGTTCTTCATGAGATTAGTAGCTTGTAGCAATGAAGATTTGAGTAAGCAAACATTAGTTCATTAATAAATGATATTGTAGGCAAATAGCTGAAAGATATACTTAAGGTTTATATGGGTAGTCCTCCAAT